CCCCAAAACCCCAAAACCCCAAAACCCCAAAACCCCAAACTGCAAATTACATGTATTCTAGTTGAAGTGAATCATTTAGTTAAAGTTAAAGATATATAATTAAGCTTTTTAATAGTAAGCGATAAGTACATGACGATACATTAAGTGACTTCTCCAGACTAACGACCACCCCCTTACTCATCTGACTACTGTTGATCCAGCCAAGGTACTTCTATAGATAACTATATGTATAAACTGGGAATGCACTCAGGTGGGGGGTGTTCATTAATCCAGAGAGGGCCTCGATTATTAGTGATGCATTCCCTCCTGATCGATGGAATATTACTTATCTAATCAAAGCATTAACGAAACATAGTCTGGAATTGATGACCTTCACACATGCTTCGGATCTTTTTATGCTGAGCCTCCTTAGGATGGGACAATGTGGCTGATGTCAGAATTCTTGGGCACACTAGTTCTTGGCATCTATTTCTAAACATTAGAAACATTAAGCGCAGTTTATTTATTCTCATCATCAATCCCATATTGATATGATTTTCTTACATCACTTTTCCTGCTTTTACTGTTAGCATGACTTTTATTTTTTGTGGTAATCCCAACTATCATCCCACCTGTTCCTAAATGAGATTTACGTCTGTCTTCTGGCGCTACATTCTTAAGTATTTTCCTGGTCTATTGATAGCTGCTACTTGGATGCGGCGAGCCTCCAACCACTCTGTGATTATTGTGAAATGTGCCTCCAGGTAGATTTAGGTAGGGCGACTGCTTTTCTTCCTCTGGACTATTGTCGTTGTAGTTATTACTCCGATTTATCATCAGATAGTTGCTATTGCTATTTCCATCATCCTTGTTGTTCTTATGCACCGACTGCAGCAAGTTAGCGATGATCTATTAATCTTTACGCTTCTCTTCTTCCTCTTTAAGCCTTGTCTGCTCCCTTTAGTATGCTTATTTAGCCAAGTCGCATTTTAAGTTGATGGCTGAGTCGCTGAGAAGGATCCATTTATGAGTCTTTACCGAGTAAAGGTCGAATCTCTTAGTTGGATCTTTGATTAGCAAGCCCTTAATGAGATCCATAAGTTCCTCAGTGGACGGGGAATCTTTTGCAAATCTGACTGGCTAATTGATGATTTTATCTTTGACTTGTTATGGAGTGTCACCATTAAATGGAAACGTGTAGAATTTCATGCAGTACAGCATCACCCCCAGCGACCATAGATCTATGGCTGGATTAGCTTTAGTATCTAGTCCTTGCAGCACCTCTGGTGACATATATCTAACGGTGCCTGCATCAGTTCTTTCCCCTGTTTGGCCTTTGCATCTGCCAGATATTCCGAAATCTACTATTTTTATCCTCGAGCGTGCCTTAGATTCAAACAACACATTCTCAAGCTTGAGGTCTCTGTGAATTATACCTTGGTCATGACACGCCTCGATAGCTGAAATCATTTGCTTAAACAGTGATCTGCACTCTACCTCTTCTAAGCCCTCCTTCTACTCAACATACTCAATTAACTCCCCTCCGTCTGCGTACTCCATGATGAGAAGAAGTTCACTTTTAACCACAAAAGCGTGATACAGCTTGATGATGTTCTTATGATTCAGCATTTTGAGTATGTTTGCCTCTCTGTCAATATCTTGGATTTAACTTGCATTCTTTTCTATATCAAGTGATCAGCAATATCATGATTCTTACACTAATCCTGCAAGTCAATATACTTTAGCGCCACTAGTTACCCAGTTTCTTTATGCCTACCTTTATATACCCTACCGAAACCTCCCTGACCAAGAAGCTCTTCCTTTTGATATTAGTCTATGATCTGCGTGGAATCGAAGTCTCTGCCTTTGTAGTCATAGTAAAGAGTATCTGCGTCCCTCAGATAAAGCACATCATCATCGTGCAACTAGATGCCTTGCTGACTATAGATCTTGGAATTGGGAGTCCTTTTAAATCGTAATTATGTCTTAATCAGGTCTAATAATTGCTCTGTAGTCTCCAGTTCTTCACCCATCAGCTTTAGCAGTTTCTCCTGGGAATCACCGTTCATTTTTATTGTCAACTATAGAATGGTTGTTAATAATTGGTACCGTAATGTATCTACTTACCTCAGTGACTTTGCTAGATTCCATATTGCAATCAATTGATAATGTAGGTGGAAATTATAAAAAGCGATTAATAATTATATGATCATTTATTATCTGGACAAGATATATTAAGCGTTTAAATAAACTTTCTTGATTATTTTACTATATAATCCCAAAATTAGTGTACTAAATGGCCTTATGGGGTTTT